TCCGATAGATACATTATTTACACTTTTTATATTAAAATATTAAATAAATTATATTTTTCTCTCTTAAAAATTTAAGTATTATATTATTATTTTTATATTATATTAACTTAACATCATTAAAAAATAATTGATTTAAAAAATACTAAAGTATTTTATTATTCATAAAAGGTTATACTTTTAATTTAATTATTCATAAAAATATACTTTTAATTAAAATATATTTTAAAATATTTTTATCACAAATGCAATTCCTCTGGTTTTTGCCATCCCGCAGTTTGTATCATGCATATGTTCATAGTTTCTACTGTGCTTGCTAGAAGTGACTCTGAAGGAAAAGTACGATTGGATGATTTATTGCTACTTTGGACAATGATGAAAAACAGATAACAGAAGATAAATTCTAGGGGGCATCTTGCACAACAATTTCAGAGTATATCCAACACTAGCTTAGGATACTTAATTAATGGAGGTTTAATCACAGCAATTGCCAATGGCTTAGGATATGAACCTCTTTTGAACCAACTTGATGCACTTCCAAGGACCAGGAGCATTAATTTTGTTACCTGTTCTACAATGAATTGCATTTCCTTAGATGATAATGAGAGATACTATTTTGTGATTTCCCAAACTGGAGTTCACCATCCTCTGTCAAACCCTCACTACATAGTGAAGAACCCAAAAACATGAAAATTTCCATTGGAGGGACCAGAGGGGATACCCCAAGAAAAAGCTGAGCAAGAACACCATTCCCCTCCTCAAAACCCAAATGATGAAGAAGTGGATAATGCAGCTATTTTAGCGGCTATTCATGACATGGATAACCACTTTGCAATAAATGGATGACAGTTAACAACACTGCAATTACATGGTGGATATGATGTATAATTGGCACTTCTGATGATTTCCTTCCACAGTGAGATCTTTCTTTTCAATTAAGATTCAATGCTTAGGGGCAAGCAATTGTTTAAGCTTAGGATTGTAAGGGTCATGCATTTAGATGCTTATTCATGCTTGTTTTTGTTCTTCCCATGCATTCATGCAAATCTCAATTTGAACTTAGAGCTCGATAAATTTTGATAAACAAGCTATCCACTTAGGAAACTAGTCTCATACAATAAGGTAGGCAGATTGATAGAATCTTGAGGTCTCAACAAAAAATGTTCTAAACCTTAAAAAACTAAATAAAAAGAAAAAAAATATGGCTTGATTAGCTAGTGGGGAAATGTTTGGTATGTAGCCTTGAACCCCTTTAAAGCTATCGGTTCAAAAAAAAAAATTTCTTTCATTCTGATTAGCTAGTAGAGAAATGTTTTGGTTGAAAAAAAAATAAAATAAATAAATAATCTATTCATATTTTTTCCCTGTTACATTGCAAAAGTATTGAGTAATGTCTAAATTCATTTGCCTATTCATATTTATAAATGTTTTCTTAACATAATTTTGAAAGAATGGTTCCAAGTGAGAAAAAGAGACCCAAAACTAGTCTTAGAAACTTAAGACGCTAATTGGACTTTAATGACCATAAAGAATTTAGTTGGATAATTTGCTTATATATTGCTAATAATGTCTCCTACGTGGATTAACTCAAATATTATGATTATTGATTAAGGATAAGTAAAAGTTTAACTTTGAGCAGGTTATTTGATGTTTTGAATTTTTTTTATTATGTTTTTGTTTTAAGTTTTTAAATAAATAGAAGTACATTCATGCATCATATAATGTAGTTATTATAGGAATTGCTTTTAAACTCAAATTTTCTTTTTATGCTCATTACATTTCTATTTTACTTTGTTATTTACATATATTAAGTAAAGATATGATTTCTCATCAAAGACCAATGAAGAAAGATAAGAGAATAAGAGAAAAAGACAAGTAAAAATAGAATTACAGTCGTGATTAGAGGGTCACACCCGTGATTGCCTTGAAAGCTAGTAAAAGAAACAAGATAGGAAAGTTTAGGATCGTGACCAGTGAGTCACACTTATGACCAACCCAACAACACAAAAAAGAAAAAACATCAAAGATTGAACGTGTCACAACCGTGACTCACCCATTATACTCATAACAAGATCCAATTGTTACACATTATTTTTAAGGATATCTTGTTTTATTTTCATTAGGACCTCGTTTTTGACTTATCTTTATTTTTTTCTAAGTTATAAATTAGACTATTAGAATTAGGAAGAGAACTTTTGATTTAATGCTTTTATAAAGAGATTGAAGAGGAGGAATTAATTCATGTTGGTATTTCTCTAATTCTTAGGTTTGTTTCTTTTTATATCATTTTTCTTTTCCTTTGGGAGAACTACTATGAACATAGGCAAGTAGTTTCTCTTTTCTTTTTTTGGGATTGGAGTTAGCCCTTGAGAACCCTAATGTTTTTATGAATTATTCGATTATTTATTTTGTTCTCTTCTTGATCTTATTTCTTTACAATTTATATATGCAAAACGATCAATCTTTATTTTCATAATTCTATATATTTAGGGAAGTATTGAGAGGTGAACTTAAATATTGGAACTTAAAGAAATAGACTAGGACTTTAAACCATGAGTGTAGGTTTAATCCTTCTAGGATAAACTAAATTAACATAAATGTTAAAGGGTTTAATTGAACATAGCCATCACGGGAGTAGGAGCCAATTCAATTAAATACAACTTTTGTATCTTGAGAGGAAATGAAGAATGTCTTAGATTAATTTACCTTCAAGTAGAATAGATAAATATTTGAGTAAAACATTTAAATATATAAGAACTCATTGAATGAACCCTAAATCTTGAAAATTTCGCTTGTATTTGAACTTTGTTATTATTATTTTTTATTTCTAAATTTTAATTACGATCAATTTTAGAATTACACTCAACATTGACCTTTAAAGTATTTTTAAATTTTATTTGTTCAATTTAATTAAATATTAATAATTACATGATCAACCACGTAATTCATGTGGATTCAATAATTTATTACTTAACAACAATCATACATTTGAAGTCTTCTCACATTAAGTACCTTTTTAAGACTTGTTTCATTGATGTGATGGAAATGTGAGTCCTCTATCTACGAAATATGTTTAACTAGATTTATTTTGTCATTTTATCAAAAGGGTTTTAATTATTTGAATAATTTTTTTAGCACACTGCAACAAAATTGTCATACAGTGACACACACCCTATAATGACACTATATATGTCACAAAAAATTACTTTTACCCACACAATAACTATAATATATGTTAATATGTTATTAAAAAGTGTGGATATAGACTATAGTGACACACAAAATATATTGTTAAATCTCATTTAAAATCAACACTAAAATTGTGTGTAACTATATGTCAAATAGACATATACCTACATATATTATACCTATAATGACACTTTTTATATGTCACTACATGTAATATTTCTTATAGTGGTATTTATTAAATGTATTAACTAGAAGGTACCACAAAAATAAATATGTAATTGATTAAAATATACAAACCTTTATTTTAACAGATCATAACAAGTATATCGTAATCGATTAAAAAAATTGTAATCAATTAAAATAAGTTTTCCTTTTCACAAAACAAATTAAGAAAACTTCTTGTAATCGATTACACTAAAATTGTAATCAATTAAAATAGGAAGTTTTCTTTTCAACAAAACAGGGCAAGTTTCTTTACAAACCTTTTGTAATCTATTAAAACAAAGACACCTGTACTTTTTTAAAAACACCTTTTAACTACCGTAATTGATTAATTATTTTATGTAATTTATTACCCTGTTTCAAAAGCCATATGTTTGTTTACGAAAACCTTTTTTCTTTGCATCACTTGTGCTTGGTTGATTTTAGCTTTTGTAAATAATTTTATTACTTTGATTAGCTAAGTTTTAACAAGGTATATAAACAATCTTTTGCTTCAAGCACTAGCACACCCATCTAACCTATCTAAGCCAAAGGAAGTAGCACACTGCTATTAAATTTGAAACATATATGAAGGAAATGATATCCATGATCAAGTTAAAACTAAGTCTCTTTAAACTTCATAACCTTTTCTTCATTCTTCATTAGTGCTATAAAAATAGCCCCTACACCAAAAAAACTCGAGGTTTCGTTAAATGGATATTTATGAATTTTGTTAATACTTATATATGAATATATATGAATATTTGTAATTTTTTAAATTAAAAAAAATAAAATAGATAAATTAAAAATAATTTTGAATTTGTGTTCCAAATTTTAATTCTTTTAGAGGTGTATTTTTATTTGACTTTATTTTACTATTTCACAAAAAAAAAAAAAACTTAAGATTTTATCAAATAAAAAAATCAATTATTGAATCAAAATATACCAAATTATCAATTGATCAACACAAGTATAAAAATAAATAATTGTAACTCAACAAAATATGAACTTACTACTTAACACAAGTAAAGATAAAAAAATAATTTAAAAACAATTAAGTAATATTACACAGCAGATACCTATTTACAAACAAGTAAAAACA